TATAACATTGTTCCCATGTAGTCAATAGTAAAATAAAATAGAATCGAGAGAGTACAAAATTCAAAAGAAAAGTAAAGAGAAAAAAGTTTGAAATATATATGAATTTTGACCGAGATTATTGTAAGGATATCAAACTTTGAAAAGGACCTCTTACCCCTACATTATTTAATAGTGTATTTTAAAGGTATATATGTGTCTATATGGACATTAAAAATATTGCATAATTATAAATAGTAACATGTCCATATGGACACATATAAACCTTCAAAATAAGCTACTTAAATAGTGTAGAATAAAAGATCCTCGTAAAGTTTGATATCGTAACAACAGTTTCGACCAAAGTTTTAAATATTTTGAATGTCTTTCACCAAAAGTAAACAGAAAAACCAATCAACAACCAATAAGTTAAGCAAAAAACTCTTTCTATATTGATAATGTTTTCATATAGTAATTCATCACATCATGAATAAATAAAAAAAACTAAAGAAAACTAATTAGAATTAAGCACAATCTTTCTCACAACAAAAAGAACAATAACATTTTCCAGATGAACCAATGCAATTTCCACCAATAATTTGTCCTTTAATATTACCAGGTCCAGGTGCCTTTACTCCAAATTTATAAAGGCATCTTGAGTTGCAATCACTTGTCTCACAAGGGACATTATGTTCAAGTGGAACCAAACAAACTCTTGATCCATTTGCCCCCCTTGTATTAATGCCTGCATGTGTATTAAAAAAACAACAACAAAGTTAATATAAGAAACATCGAAAGTAACCTGAGCTGTGGTGCAATAATGAGACTGGTACTTACCGATAGCAATGAAAGAACAAACATGAAGGCAATTAGGCTAGACAAATTCTTCATGATTTCTAATGGATACCACAAGTAATACAGTATTCAATATGTGTTTAGCAAGATTTTTCTTATGTTAGGAGAATTAAGGTGTTGTGAAATTTATAGGGTCGAATGAGTTTTGAAAATGGAAAAGTAATCATAGTCATACACAAATTTGTGAAATAATATTTTCTAAGAAATATATTTATGTATAGTTTACTTATTTTATGTACCAAGAAAAAGAGATATATTTGTTAACCAAAATAAGAGTATTAATTTTAAAGGCAAACATTAGTAATTTCTCCTTGAAAAATATTGTGTAATAATATTTTCTAAGAATAGTTTAATTGTTTTATGTACGAAGATAAAAAATGCATTTATTAACCAAAAACGTCATAATCATTGGAGAGCAAGAGATGAAAAACGTCATAATCATTGGAGAGCAAGAGATGAAAAACGTCATTTTCCATTAAAGGAAACAAAACAATTTAGGTATCCCAAATATGATTTGTTCACCAAAAAGGAACAAAATTAATTTTGATTTTCAAGTGAGTTGAATCCTAAAATAGTTTAGGAAAATTTGAAAATATTTTGAAAAAGTTAATCATGGAAGTAGTTGATGCATGCGCACACTTACGAATTAGGAGTCTGAGAGTTTTAAATTTTTTTTATAATGAGATTCACACCAATAAGACTTGCGTGAAAAGCATATTTTCATGACCCTTTTCTTATAATTAAACCATCAATTAGTTATGTTAAAGGCTTCACGAGTTTTTATATATATATAATTTTCTTGTACATATATAGAATCCACCAAAAAGCTATTGGATTCTTTCAAACCCACAAACTCTCACCTAACTTCGCCTATATTCTAGCCTTTTCAAAAATGCCTCTCTCGTTACAACCAAATGGTTGAACACTCCTGTGCTTTAA